GGTTGGTTGTCAGCAGCAAACTGGTTGATCCACTCTGAGAAGGTGCTATTTAAGAGACAGCTGAAAACAGCACCTCAGACTGAGGAAGTCTCTTGGATGAGAGACGAAACGTTTCTAGATTTTTTTTGCTTTGTTTTGTTTTTGATTTTTTGAATGTCCAGAGGACCAGATTGAACTTTTTTGGATTTTTCTACCTGGATTATTGAGCATGCATCAGGATATTTTTTTATTGGTCTTAAATAATATTCTAATTTTCTGAGATACTGAATTTGGGGTTTTCATTAGATGTCAGTTATAATCATCATCATTAAAAGAAATAAACATTTGAAATATATCAGTCTGTGTGTAATGAATGAATATAATATACAAGTTTCACTTTTTGAATGGAATTACTGAAATAAATTAACTTTTTCATGATATTCTAATTTTATGATCAGAACCATTTGTTAAACCCCAGTCCTTTAAATTATGCAACATACAAAAATCATAGGAATAATTATAATCACCTCATTAGAAATACTAAACGAAATTACCATAGTGATCTATTTACATCAAATAATTCAAAATCAAATCAAATTTAAAAAATCAAATAATTCAAAATCTACATGGGATATTTTAAAACTACTACTTAATAAGAAAATACCTCTACTCCATCCCAGGCTTCATTTCAGGATGGCACTTCACTTACAGTATAACAGATCCAACAGAAATAGCAAATAATTAAAACATTTTTTATAAATGTGGGATCACACCTTGCAAAAAATGTTGATAATGTTTCTGATTTTCCTTCTAACTTTATAAATAAAGATTATCCCTCTTTAAATACAGTTGATCCAATAAAACCTTTAGAATTACTTGACATCATTAAGAATCATACCTTGTATTTTTGTTGGCTGTAACTGGAACTCTATGTACAAAGTTTCGTTCCACCACATGTTCTAGAACTGCTCCGCTCCAGGTGTCTGCATGTTGGAGCAGCTCTGTTTCATTCTGAGATTTTGCTTTTGGAAACTTTAATTCCTCTTTTTCTGGATGTAAGTCACATTTTCTGGATGATTGTTTCCTCTGGTATCAGATGCTGAGCAGCTGGAAGGATTTTTACTGAAACTTTTTTAGTTTTGGACATTTGTTTTGATGCGTAACCATAGCAACAAGACAGTTTTCTACAACCAGCAGCAGCTGATTAACATCTCAAAAGCTCAAATAATATCTCAACTACAGCCCCAAATCTCAAGTGAGTTGAAAAGGATGTTCTGTGGACGCATTCTCATCTACCTGCCTGCTGTGCTCGAGTGCCTGACCACTGAGATCCTGGAACTAGCAGGAAACACGGCTCAGGACAGCTGAAGGACAAGATCGTCCCTCAGCACCTACAGTTGGCTGTCCGCAGCGACGAGGAGCTTGGCAGACTGCTGGGAGGAGTGGCCATCGCTCTGGGAGGAGTTCTGCCCAGCATTTGGGCGGTCCTACAGCCCAAAGGGAACCGAGAGGCCAGCCGAGTCTGGGTGGACAGATCGGACAGCATCTGCAGCCAGTTTCTTAGGATCCACTGTGAGATAGACCTTTACAAGATATCCTTCCTGTCTACAGCATCAGCATCTATAACATCTCTTAATGAAATGAGGATAACGAGTTACAACAACAAATAATTTTCCTCTGGGATTAATAAAGTATTTTTGAATTGAATTGAATTGAATTGAATGTTCGACATGTGGTGTGCATGACAGTAAAGAACCTTGACGTGTCGAATGAAGGCTGAGCTACAACAGAACGATGGATGAGACATTGACCAACATCATGCATCTATCACCTTTACCTGCTTCCTCCTTTTCTGGTCACACAGGGTCACTGGTGCCCATCTCCAACAATCACTGTGAGAGAGGTGGGGACACCTGGACAGGTCTCCAGTCCATCACAGGGACATATGAGACAAACAACCATTCTCTCCCTCTCTCTCACCTAGGGACAATTTAGAGTTACCAATCAGCCTAACATGCATATTTTTGGTCTGTGGGAGGAAACTGGAGTACCAGGAGAAAACCCACGCATGCACGGAGAAAACATGCAAACTCCACCCAGAAAGGCTGGGATTTGGACTTGTGACCTTCTCACTGAGCGGCAGCATTTCTACCATCTGAGTCACTGTGTCATCACATTGACCACCAGATCATATATATTTTGTTCATGCAAACTTTAAATCAGCACCAAAACTTTACACAGTGGCACAGCTGATCTGGTTGTTTTTGATGGCTGACTGTCAGCTCAGTGTGAAAATTATACCTGAACAATTTTTACCAGACCAGCAGCAGCTGTGCTTTGATGCAGGGACACACATTTACCAAGGATAGAGTCATGGTGACACCCAGGAAAAACAAACCAAGACTGACATGAAACTGGAGGAAACAGAAGCAACATTTCCTGCACTCAGAGTTGACTGTAGATTGTAACGGCCAGTAGCAGCTTAGCTGTGGCAGCTGGAACCACAGGGAGTGTGAGAGAACAAGAATGATCAGAATCCATCTGATAGGAAGCTGTGCTTTGAATCCCACATCCCTCCTCTTTGAAGACTAGTCAGATATGTATGTTCAGGTTTTTGTACAGTCTCTTCTACTCTTTGTATCACTGTGTCTCCAGAGTACAGTAGTAGAAAGCTGTGCCTGCCAGGGGTAGATTCCTGATGCTCAATTCACTTGATGTTGCTGTTGTTTGGGAGCCATATCCACCATCAGGAATATATTCCTCTGAGCCCCATTTACCTCTTTTCCAAAGGAGGAACTGAGGAGCCTGAAGGTGAGAACATTGTCTGAACCAGTGAAGATCAACACAAGTTGCTGTTGTCTTGTACTGACATGAGAGTGTGACAGTTTGTCCTTCTGTTCCTCTGTGGTCCACACTGCGCTCAATCACCTCGAGCAGAAAAACTCCTACGTCCGTATGCTCTTTGTGGACTTCACATCCGCCTTCAACACCATGATCCCCCAAACCCTGATGGACAAACTATCCACACTAGGACTAAGCCCCTCCATCTGCAACTGGGTACTAGACTTTTTAACAAACAGACCACAGTTAGTGAGGATCCACAACCTCTCCTCCTCCACCATAACCCTCAGCACTGGCTCTCCTCAGGGATGTGTGTTGAGCCCCCTTCTGTTTACTCTGCTCACATATGATTGTGCAGCTACCCATCCAGGCTGTCACATTGTAAAGTTTGCAGATGATACAGCGGTGGTGGGATGCATCACAAACAATGATGAGTCCAGCTACAGGCAAGAGGTGGAACACCTGGAGAGCTGGTGCAGAGAGAATAACCTTCACATCAATGTGAAGAAGACAAAGGAGATGATTGTGGACTTCAGAAGGAACAAAAACACCTACACCCCCCTGAACATAAGAGGATCTGCGGTGGAAGTGGTCTCCAGCTACAAGTACTTGGGTGTACACATGAATGACAACCTCAGCTGGAGCAACAACACCACCAGCCTGATCAAGAAAGCTCATCAGAGACTCTACTTCCTCAGACGGCTGAGGCGAGCTGGTCTGGGAAGCTCAGTCCTCACCTCCTTCTACAGGTGTGCAGTGGAGAGCATCCTGTGCTCGAGCATCAATGTGTGGCATGGAGGCTGCACAGCTGCAGAAAGAAAAGCTTTGCAGAGAGTGGTGAAGGCTGCACAGAAATCTGTTGGAATCAGTCTCCCCACCATCACAGACATCTACACCTCCAGATGCAGGAAGAGGGCCACCTGCATCATGAAGGACCCCACCCACCCAGCACACACACTTTTTGCCCCACTCCCCTCAGGAAGGAGGTTAAGGAGCATTAAGTGTAGAACCACTAGACTGAGGAACAGCTTCTACCCTGAGGCTGTTAGACTCATGAATCTCTAACTAGAATAATCACTGTGAAAAACCATATCATGTTGCTGCTGATCTGTTTCATGTTGCTGCTGATCTGTTTCAATGTTGATGTGTTCATGCGTGCACATCTGCTCACAGACTCATGTTCATGTTTGTGCTGATGTTCAATGTTTTATGTTATGAGTGCTTAGTGTATATTTAGTTGATGTTTTTCTTAGTTCATATCTTAGATGTTATTACTGTTTTTCTTATACATTTTATTGTTGGATGTAACTGGGACCTTGTGGACATAATTTCGCTCCACCACATGTACCACATGAGGTGCGAATGACAATAAAGAAACTCTGACTCTGACTGACTTGATCTCTATCAGGAGAGATTGTGTCTCCAACTACTGGTCTTGGAAAAAGGAGACAAAGTGAAGGTGAGTGAAGGAGAAAAGGAGTGAAATGCAGCCTGAAGATGTGGTTAATGCAGCAGCTGGAACCAAACTTCAATCCCTGTTCTTAATCTCACCTAGAACGGGACATAGAAACAGAAAGACAAACAGCAGCATGTCTTTGGAGTCCTTAAACACACACACAGCACAAGGACAAAGTTCTTCTACTACAGCACAGTCAGGAGGAAATGATGTAATTGATGATCTGAGAGTCAGTGGGTGGGGCTTGAATTTGACCAATCAGAGAGTTTTCTGCTTCCACAGCAACTGTCTCTGATCTTT